CCTGCATCTCTTCTTCTCTTCCACCAGTTCAGGATGACTGTGGCTAAAACCGAGTGTGCGCTGACACTTCCTGACAGGAAGTGATGTCAGAACCCTGTGATTGACAGCTCTGTGTATGCGTGTGTGTGCGTGCGGTTCAGTTACGCAGCTCCTTCAAACAGGCGTTCAGTAAGAAGAAAACCAAGTCCCAGTCGGCCCACGATGAGGCGGAGGAGACGAGCGACTCGCTGCCGTCCTCGCCCAAACTCCACCACGACAACAGGCTGGGCAGCACCGTCACCCTCCACTCCTCCCCCTCCGCCACAGAGTGAGTGTCGACCCCGGGTCCCACACCGAGGGTCCAGGACGCTGTCACATGACTTCACCTTCCGTTTTTTTTGTTGTTGCTCATTTTTGCTTTTCGTAAATGTCCTTGAACCTCCTCCTCTTCTTCCTCCTCCTCCTCCTCTTCTTCTTCCTCTTCCTCCTCTTCCTCCTCCTCCTCTTCCTCTTCTTCTTCCTCTTCCTCCTCCTCTTCCTCTTCCTCTTCTTCTTCCTCCTCCTCCTCCATCTTTTCTTCATCCGACCTTCCTCCTCCTCCTCCTCCTCCTCTTTTTCCTCTTCCTCCTCTTCCTCCTCCCCCTCCTCCTCTTCTTCCTCCTCTTCCTCCTCCTCCTCCTCTTCTTCTTCCTCTTCCTCCTCCTCTTCCTCTTCCTCTTCCTCCTCCTCCCCCTTTTCCCCCCCCCCCCCCCCCCCCTCCCCCTCCGCCACAGAGTGAGTGTCGCCCCCGGGTCCCACACCGAGGGTCCAGGACGCTGTCACATGACTTCACCTTCCGTGTTTTTTTGTTGTTGCTCATTTTTGCTTTTCGTAAATGTCCTTGAACCTCCTCCTCTTCTTCCTCTTCCATCTTTTCTTCATCCGACCTTCCTCCTCCTCCTCCTCCTCTTCTTTCTCTTCTTCTTCCTCCTCCTCCTCCTCCTCTTCTTTCTCTTCTTCTTCCTCCTCCTCCTCCTTTTCTTCCTCCTCTTCTTCTTCCTCTTCCTCTTCCTCCTCCTCCCCCTTTTCCCCCCCCCCCCCCCCCCCCTCCCCCTCCGCCACAGAGTGAGTGTCGACCCCGGGTCCCACACCGAGGGTCCAGGACGCTGTCACATGACTTCACCTTCCGGTTTTTTTGTTGTTGCTCATTTTTGCTTTTCGTAAATGTCCTTGAACCTCCTCCTCTTCTTCCTCTTCCATCTTTTCTTCATCCGACCTTCCTCTTCCTCCTCCTCCTCTTCTTTCTCTTCTTCTTCCTCCTCCTCCTCCTTTTCTTCCTCCTCCTCTTCTTCCTCTTCTTCTTCCTCCTCCCCCCTTTCTTCTCCCTCTTTTTCTTCCTCCTCCTCCTCTTCTTCCTCCTCTTCTTCTTCCTCCTCCTCTTCCTCCTCCTCCTCCACTGTAGTAAGTGTGTTTGTGACAAGTCCTCCTCAGTTTGGACTCCAAAGACCAAGCTCGGTGGTCATGTGATCTACAGCCACAGATCTCGGTAACATCATGTCCTCAGAACCTGAATGTGCACTGGAGTGTGTTGGTGTGAAATGACTGGACTAATGGAACCACTGGTACTGGTACTGGTACTGGTACTGGTACTGGTACTGGTACTGGTACTGATGAGTGGAACTGGTACAGTACAAGAACCTGAGTCTGGTTCTAGTTTTAGAAAATAACAGTAATAATAACTGATCAATAACTGATCAATGACTGAGGAGATTGATACGGAATGAGGAGAGGACAGATGAGGAGAGGAAAGATGAGGAGAGGACAGATCAGGAGTGGACAGATGAGGAGAGGACAGATGCGGAGAAGACAGATCAGGAGAGGACAGATAAGGAACAGGACAGATCATGAGAGGACAGATCATGAAAGGACAGATGAGGAGAGGAAAGATGAGGAGAGGACAGATGAGGAGAAGACAGATCAGGAGAGGACAGATGAGAAGAGGACAGATGAGGAGAGGAAAGATGAGGAGAGGACAGATCAGGAGAGGACAGATAAGGAACAGGACAGATCATGAGAGGACAGATCATGAAAGGACAGATGAGGAGAGGACAGATCAGGAGAGGACAGATCAGGAGTGGACAGATGAGGAGAGGACAGATAGGGAGAGGACAGATCAGGAGAGGACAGATAAGGAACAGGACAGATCATGAGAGGACAGATCATGAAAGGACAGATGAGGAGAGGACAGATCAGGAGAGGACAGATGAGGAGAGGACAGATGAGGAGAGGACAGATGAGGACATACTTCAGTGTTTTCTTCCAGCTCTAACTGAACCAGGTCTCTGTGACTGCAGCATGTCTGGACGGTGTTAGCATGCTACTGTGTGCTAGCTGGTCACTCAAGTTTAGTGTGTTTGATGACAGTAGATTTGTTAGTTTATTTTCAGTTATTTATTTATTTTTTTTATTATTGCTTTTTCCTCCCCAGCACAGCAGGGGGCGCTGGAGCTAGACAAAATATGGTCAAAGTTCACTGAAGTAGAAACTTTAACAAAATAGTCACCAAGGCTGAAAACCTGCGACTTAGTCAGTTTGTTCTTGGGGGGGGGGGCAGCTTCACTCCCTCCTCATGTTTTTCCCACACAATTTTTCCACCTGACCTTCATCTGGCCAATCAGAGTCCAGCTCTCTTCTCCAGTGTGTGTGTGTGTGTGTGTGTGTGCACGGCTACTCTCCAGACTGTGTGTGTTGGTGTAATCCACAAGGTGGCCCCGTCCTCCATGCTGTGTGTGTGTGTGTGTGTCCCTGCTGCAGGTTGTGTGAATGCACTGAGGCCGAGGCAGAAATCGTCCTCCAGCTGAAGAACGAGCTCCGAGAGAAGGAGCTGAAGTTGACGGACATCCGCCTGGAGGCTCTGAGCTCCGCCCACCACCTGGACCAGATCCGCGAGGCCATGAACCGCATGCAGGTACCGACGACTGTTCCAGTACTGGTTTACTGTCACAGTACTGCAGTACTGCTCCAGCAGAGTACCCCACGGTGTGTACTGTCTCACCAGAATGAGATTGAACTGCTGAAGGCGGAGAACGACCGCCTGAAGTCCAGCAGTAACGTCACACCGACGGCCACGCCCGTCAAGACGGGCCGACCTCCTTCAGAGACCTCCAGCACCTCCTCCTCCTCCTCACGCCAGTCTCTGGGGCTGTCGCTAAACAACCTCAACATCACTGACTCCATCATGTCAGGTGGGTTCACCGTCAGGGTCCGTGATGGTCAGGGTCCGTGTCGGGCCCCGCCCCCACATTTGAACCCAGTTCTCTCGTTTCCTCCAGACAACCTCCTGGACGACGGTTATGAAGGAAACCTCCGGAGAGAAGGTCGCAGCGTGAGGATAGTGGTGAACATCAGCAGTGGCTCCAGGAGGACCAAGAAGGTGAGTGGACCTCAGTCAGACTGTAATCAAACCCTGGCTCCTGTCTGACCCACCTGACCCCTGTGACCCCTGTGACCCCTGTCCAGGTTCTGCAGAGTCAGGATTACTTGATCGGCTCCATAGGTGTGAGTGGGAAGACCAAGTGGGACGTCCTGGACGGAGTGGTCCGCCGCCTCTTCAAGGTACGTGAAGGGGGGTTTGGGCTGATGATGATGATGATGATGATGATGATGATGATTGTGAGGGACACAGATGATGGACACAGGGGTCACAACCCCTAGAGTGTCCTCAGAGCTCCTGTACTGGGGTCATGACCTTGGTTTATTAACCTGGATTATTGGACTCTCAGACTGAAACACTGTGTCCTCTGACCCCCCCGTCCTCTGACCCCTCCCCCCTGCAGGAGTATGTATTTCGGGTGGACCCGTTGACCAGCCTGGGCCTCAGCTCTGACAGCATAGTCTGCTACAGGATGGGTGAGGTGGTCCGTGCCCACGCCTCTGAAGTGCCTGAGCTGCTGCCCTGTGGCTACCTGGTGGGGGACAACAATGTCATCAGGGTGGTCCTCAAAGGTACGGGAACCAGGAAGTAAGTGTTGACTCTGTTAGCTCTGATGCTAACGTCTGTGTCCGTGGCTCCGCAGGAGTGAGGGACAACAGCATCGACAGTCTGGTCTTTGACACCCTCATCCCGAAGCCCATCGTCCAGCGCTACCTCAACCTGTTGATGGAGCACCGTCGGATCATCCTCTCTGGACCCAGTGGGACGGGGAAGTCCTTCCTGGCCGCCAAGCTGGCCGCGTACATCATTTCTCAGACGGGACAGGAAGTGACCGAGCACAACGTGGCCAGCTTCAACGTGGACCAAAACTCCAGCAAGGTCAGAGTCGACCGGAGGGTCATCGGTTGTTGTTCAACTGTAGTCATTTACCTGACCCCCTGCTGACCCCCCCTGACCTCTGCTGACCTCTGATTCTGTCCAGGATCTGCGTCAGTACCTGTCCACCCTGGCAGAGCAGTGTAACTCTAAGGAGACGGAGACAGAGCTCCCCACGGTGGTCATTCTGGAGAACCTCCACCACATCGACTCCCTCAGTGACATCTTCAACGGTTTCTTGAACTGCAAGTACCACAAATGGTGAGAGCGCCCCCCAGAGGGAGCTGGTTGTTGTTCAGCTAGTCCTCAGTGTTGATGGACTTTTGTCTCCTTGTCTCCTTCAGTCCGTACGTCATTGGGACCATGAACCAGGGAGTCTCATTGTCTCCTAACCTTGAGCTTCACCACAACTTCAGGTTTGTTTCATCTCAACATTCTGGAAAAATCCAGATGATGAAGAAGTTAACGTGAAAACAACAGTGAAGTTTACTGTAGTATAACGCAGTAATACTGTAGTATAACGCAGTAATACTGTAGTATAACGCAGTAATACTGTAGTATAACGCAGTAATACTGTAGTATAACGCAGTAATACTGTAGTATAACGCAGTAATACTGTAGTATAACGCAGTAATACTGTAGAATAACACAGTAATACTATAGTATAACACAGTAATACTGTAGTATAATGCTACTGTATGTAGTATAATGCAGTAATAATATAGAATAACGCAGTAATACTGTAGTATAACGCAGTAATACTGTAGAATAACACAGTAATACTATAGTATAACACAGTAATACTGTAGTATAATGCAGTAATAATATAGAATAACGCAGTAATACTGTAGTATAACGCAGTAATACTGTAGTATAACACAGTAATGTAGAGTATAGAGTATAAATGTAAAGAGAGTCGTCTGATTGGTCCGTTGGACCAGCTGACGTCTTTTGTTCCCTGTAGGTGGGTGTTGTGCACCAACCACACCGAGCCAATCAAAGGCTTCCTGGGACGGTTCCTGCGCAGGAAACTGATCGAGACGGAGATCCAGAAGAACGTGCGGAGTAACGAACTGATCAAGATCATCGACTGGATCCCAAAGACCTGGCAGCATCTCAACAGCTTCCTGGAGACACACAGCTCCTCTGACGTCACCATAGGTCAGTTAGAACCAGGAGGGGGTCAGAGGTCAGGGGTCAGGGGTCGGGGGGGGTCCAGAACCACATGTTTGGTCTTGACCGTTCCGTTGTCCTGCAGGTCCTCGTCTTTTCCTTTCCTGTCCCATGGATGTGGAAGGATCCAGGGTTTGGTTCACCGACCTGTGGAACTACTCTCTGATACCGTACCTGCTGGAGGCCATCAGGGAGGGGCTCCAGGTACTCCACCCCCACCCCCCCACTGTGACACAACAGGAAGTCAGTGCTGTAACCTGTGGTCATTTCTTTCCGTTTCTTCACAGCTTTACGGGAAAAGAGCAGCGTGGGAGGATCCGTCCAAGTGGGTGAATGACACGTATCCGTGGAGCGCCCCCTGTCTGCAGCAGGACGGCCAGTTACTGCTGCAGCTGAGGCCGGAGGACGTGGGATACGACAGCTACAGCTCATGTAAGGAGGGGGCCTCGTCCAAACAAGTGTCCCAGAGCGACACCGAGGGAGACCCACTGGTGAGGAAACACACACAGTGTAGTGCTCACTTGGTGCCTCCAGGGGGCAGCCTGTGGGATCTGTTAACTCAGGTGATTGACAGGTCACTGAAGGTCAGCTGTTCCGCTGACGCTGACGTTCCCGCTCCATTTCCTTTCCCAGATGAACATGCTGCTGCGGCTGCAGGAAGCGGCCAACTACTCCAGCACCCAGAGCTGTGACAGCGACAGCACCAGTCACCATGACGACCAGCTGGACTCCTCCGTGGAGTCGGCCCTCTGAGAGCACCTCTGTCGCTCTGACCTCTGTGACCTCTGTGACCGCCGATCCATCACTGATTGTGCAGTGACTCTAATTATAAGTGTCAATCACCACCAAATTAATGACAACAGGAAACAGTCGGACAGGACGGATCACTCTGGACAAACACACGTACATCCATATAACCCTGAGGTCAGTGTCCTGCTGTGGTTCAGTGTCGTTGGTGTCGAGTGGTTCACGGGTCCAAACCGGATGTTTGTCTCTTTGTTTGTGAATTTAAAAAAAAACAAAAGCCTTTTTTCCCGTGACGTCTTCAGATGTTTACAGCGAGGCTGTGGTGTTTTTTAGTCTCTCCTTGTTGACACAGGTGCTTCTTACCACGGTTCACGTGAATGCACTCAAACACAGGCAGAACTGTTTCCTTTGTTCAGTGTGAACTCGCAGTGACGTCACAACCTAGCCTGCCGAAGTGTCCTTGAACACCTCAACGTTCCACAGTCAGCTGTTCTGATGAAGGTTTTCAACCACAGCACGCGGCTCGACGGTGATGGGATGCCCTCTAGTGGCCTCGTCGAAGGTTTCTTACTCTCGTTGCCATGTGAACCACGGTCTGCTCTAAGGTTCAATCATAAACGCAGTTTGTCAACAGTCAGCATGCACTTCCCATTTCTGGCCTGCAGGTGGTGCTAACTATGCGTTGAAAGTCCACTTCTACGGTTGACGTGTAGTGACCCGTAAATACACAGAGAATTGTGAAGTTAGTCATTAGGTTTTACTGGAATAGCATGTAGCTAATGCTAAGACCTGACAGGTGGTGGTTCCAGTTAGCAATGACGGCTAACAGAGCTGTGCTAATCTGTGGAGACGTTTAATCCCAACATGCATTTCAAAGATAAACACTGACATACAAGACAAACTGACTGGACTGCTAAAGGCTAGGACAAAGCTAACCATGCTAACAGCCTCGGCCTCGCTTCTAATTTAGACTTTACCAGATCTGGATAAGTGAGTGGGATTACTGCCACCTAGTGGAACCGCAATCATGAGGTTGTGCTGATAACTTGTGTTCACAACCCAAACAGTATTAAATTGTTTGCACACACACACACACACACACACACATCGTTGCTGCCTGTTTACGTTGCTCAACCGTCAACCAGCAGATTGAACCTGGGTCTGGGCCGCGGACTCTGGGCTACAACCTCTGGGCTACAACCTCTGGGCTACAAACTGTTTACGTCTGCCTTGGAGTTTCCCACAGTGCTGTATTTAAATGTAGAGCTTGACCTGCAGAGGGCAGTGTTTAGCAGATCTATTAAAAATGAGAAGCATCTCCAGCAGGAAAGTGAACAACAGTACCAGAGTGGTACTTTGTGAACACAGATGATTGGTTTACATTTGCTCCCCCTTCAGGTGGGTGAGGAAATTGCAAACATTGGTGGTAAATTTGAAACTGCTGCTCGTAGCTGGAATCACAGCGTTTTTCTCGATGTGGCCGTTTTCTCCCAGCAGCCCCGTGGTGGTCCTGATCCTCCAACCATGTTGTAGAAACACTTGGGGGGGGGGGGGGGGGGGGGGGTTGTTCTCCGTGAGCTGGGCTCACTGGAACAAACAGGAGCACAGCGTTTAGTTCTCACACCTGTGGAGCATGTTTCAGTGGACGTGTTGAGGAGACGTCTCTTCTGTCTTGATGTTTGCTGATTGGATGGAAGCCATTTTGAATTTGGATTGTAATCTTATTGTTTTTAATATATGAATTGTTTTTGCACACTTTGAGGTCGGGGTGCCTTGTAAATACCAGTGAGTGACAGACTGAACGACAACAGTTTGAACAAAAAAAACTTTTCCCATTTTCTTCTCCATCCTGCCGGGACCTCGTCGGGATCTTCTCCGTCTTTGGGAATGCATGTGTTCCTGCGTGGACCTTTTAACCCAAGCTTCCTGTCAGATGAGGCGAGCTGCCTGATCCACTGAAGCTGACCTGACACCGTACTGTAAACACACTAACCAACAACCAACAGGTGCTACTCGTCAGTCAGATCTCACCAGATGCCAAAACAGGTCACGACCTCAGGACAATCAGAACCTACACACACCTACCTGTGTTCAGCTTCACGTGGCTCTGCAGCCCGGCCTCTGATGGTCGCACACACACACACACACGAGTGACCAACGTTACTAATGTTGTGTCCACCAGAGTCAGCAGTTGACCAGGTTGACCTGATGGTGGCGCAGTTGGAGTGGTAACACACCTGTATCTATGTATCAACCCGACCTTAACTAGTTCATATTTAAACCAGTTAACTAGTCTACACGACTGTTCCTCAGTCTCCAGAGCGTGGACAACATCAACAGCGTACTCCGTCACTCAGACGATCGACTGTCAATTATTCCACGTACAGCCTGCAGTTTCCTGTCAGATTAAATCCATTTATCCTGTTTTAAGAGAATGTTTTTTTTTCTTTCTCTTCTTTCTTTACGAAGCATTTGTCCTTAAATGTTTTATATTTTGTACATTTGTATGTAACATATCATGTAAATAGACAGAGACAGTGATTTAAGTCATCTGGAGGATTTTGTAGTCTTTGTAAAGCCCTAAATAAATGGTATTTGGTGTCACACAAACAGAAATCAGACAAGCTTTTATTTTGACTTTTGTGTCTATTTATGACCAACGGTTTAACACAGCTGTGTATGAAGAGATGTTCTGATCAGGCGGGTATTAAAATAAATCATCTATATTGACTGTTGCTTTATAACCTCTTAGTTTATTTATTTATTTTATTTTTATGAAAGTCAACTGTTGCCTCAACCCTGACTCACGGAAGTGGTGTTGATCAATGCAAGGCTGGTACTGGTGTCACCACCAGCTGACGTCTGTGTGTAATTACAGTGTAACACGGAGTGAGTGACATTTATAATAATTATATTTTTTAACAATTATAAAAAAATTATATTTTTATTTTGTTCTATTCGTTTTATTTTGAACGGCGGCTCCGACTGTAATCACTTCCGGGTCGTCGTCATCTGCGACTGAAGCAAACATGGGAGTCGGCTCAACTCCAGCGACGAAGTCCAACGAAGAAGAGAAAATGTTTTCATCGAGTCCAGTTTCTCTGCCCAAACATTCGTACTGGTTTGACTTTTGGGCGTTCGTGGTCTTCGACATCGCCCTGTTCCTCTTCATGTATCTGCTGGTTCCCTAAAATGGTGAGTGGCTGAGTTGACACGGAGCTGTTTCCGGAGTAGAAACAACAACAACGACCGAGCAGCAGAACGACGTCGTTACCTTATGATTATGGTGTCGTCTCTCACCGTGGACTTTATATCAAGTCATTGTGACGTGTTTCATTTGTAACGACGACAGTTCTGTAGCTGTGTTGACGTAAAGGTTGGACAGACAGTCGTCCTTCTGTTCTCGGTGTCGTTGTTGTATCGTGTTTTTAGTTCTGCTCCACAGAAAATTAATATTTATTTTGTTTCTGTATTTAATGACATGACTTTAATTTAACTTTCACTTGTTTTTGTGGACAAGTTGGTTCCCGGAGCCTGGAGACATGGACTGCTGCTCCCTGAATGCTGACCAAGCTTTGAATGAACACTGTGTGACGTCACAGGCTCCCACACCCTGGACCATGGAAACCTGCAGTTGTGTCGTTTCACTGAATGCTGTCTTGATTCTTGAACTACTTTTCGTGTGGTGTGTGTTGTCAGTGACAGTGACGTCATAAGGGCTTGTAACGTCACTCCAGTGATATATTTATTAAAACAAATGTATTTTACTATAAACGTGTTACAGCAGACTAGAACTGTTGTTTCATGTTTAGGTTCAAATGTTTCCAAATACAAAGATAATATATATATAAATATATATATTTGTTTTTATAATAAGCATTAAATCCTCTGAAGGTTCAGTCGATTCACTTTTTTCTAACAGTTCTGGAGTTTCTGCTAATAAAAAACTAAAGTAATTATTTGACCTGTGATATCCTGGCTGTTCTTACTGTAGTGCTGACGTCTTCAGTTCAACAATGACACTGATGAACTGCTGCCTTTTTAGCAAATATACAAATAGTTCGATTTCAAGTCAATTACTTGTCCTCGTGACACTGACGGTGCCAGCTGGTGGAGTTGAACCTGAAACCTTCTGGACCAAAGTCCGCTTTCGTAACCACCACCATGCAAAATGTGTATTGTCAGAAGTGGGATTCGAACCCACGCCTCCAGAGGAGACTGCGACCTGAACGCAGCGCCTTAGACCGCTCGGCCATCCTGACTTGTACAGTCGATATTAATCGATCCCACATCCACAGCTCTCACTGTCGTTGATCAAGAAACTCACCAAGAAATCTCGTGAGACTAGAGACGAGTTCTACTGTATCTAAAGTTCAACTTTTAACGATGTTAGAGCAGAGATCAGATCAACAAGCATTAAAAAATCTTTCTCAAACATTATTTCTGTTAGAAATCTCTTTATACAACTTTGTTGTCATCGATAATTTGAATGTGTGACGTCAATTTAATGTAAATAATGTTTCGTTTATTTATTACCAACTGTAATAAAGTGTTCCGGGGTAGAATGGTAGAATATTTATTTTAATTTTCAGAGTCCATAAAAACGACGTGCTGTGTTAAGCAAAAAAAAAATCTCAATTTTTTTCTAAATTTGGTTTTGTAATAAATAGTATAACCACGTGGTTATCACGTGGATTTTCGCTTACTTCTTATTAGCTCAGTCACGCGAGTTAAAGATTGAACTTCCCTCCTCGTTTCCCGCCGGACTCCTTATCTACAGGGACTTCCTGCTCCACCCACATTCTCGTGTCGCTTCCGGGTGGCCGCTCTCACTGATCCAGTCTGGTAGTCGTTTTCTCAACGCTGTAAACAAAAGTTATTTAACGGTTCACTTCCTTCGACACGTAGAAAGAAAAGAAATGCATATCAAGACAGGTAAGACAGCGTCTAGAATGTTCGACTTTCGGACGCGCTGCTCTTCTTCTGCCGCGGCGTCCGTCTCGGTAGCTACCTGCTTGTCGTTTTGAATGGACGGTTACGAAACTTCGGCTAACGGGATAGCTAGCATTGGATTTGTTACTGCGGAGCACGGAGCAGTCACATAGACGGCAGACCGTAGCCATAACATGTTAGCCAGTTTGATCGAACCTCAGTAACTGGTAATAAAGCCATCGAGTTTATATATCTAAATACGACGCTGCTAGTTGAGGGTTGCTAACACCGGTACTAGCTATTAGCACCGTCCACACTAGCATTGGGGACGAAAATACTACGAAAGGAGACCGTGTAGTTATTCTAAAAGTTGTATGTTTGTTAGTGACTGTTCACCAGAACTGACTCACAGAAAACCCGTTTCTCTGCGGCAGAACCGGCCTGTTTAACTGGTATCAGCCGATCTGTGGTGAAAAGCGGGCACGGTGTTCAGGCCAGCCTCGGTCTCTAACACGTGAATTGTACCACAAACGCGTGTATTAATGTGTATTCCTCTGAGGGGTCAAAATGAGAAATAATACATTTGTTTGGTTTATTTTGCAACGAATTAAACGTGATTATTTACTCACATGTCAAATTTCTAAATATTAGAACGTATTTTATCTGTATTGTTTGTGTGTTCAGTTTATTTATTTTTTAACGATTAACACTTTATCGTATTCTTAATCTCAGCTGTTGATTGGTCTGAATATAGAGATTTAAGGTGGAACTGTTTATTTCTTTTAAACCATCTTTAGGGTAAAGAACAAACTCAAATCGACGCTGTTGTCACGTGACAAAATATATCAATAAAACCTAGGACAGAATAAAGATAAAAGTAAAATCTTTTCTTTAGATGGTGTTAGTTAAAGGTTGTAACCGATTATCACTGACTGTGTCCATTTAAGTCAAGTCCTTAAATGAAGTATCGATCTTTAAATCAATACCATGGTCGGTTCATCCTTCATTATTTTGTCAATTCTATTCTGTTCGATGAAACTTTGTGTCTGTTGTTGAAGATGATGAACCCTTTGTCACAGATGAATCCTGTTCTTTATGTTGAGTTGATTAAGTTTCCGCCGTCTTTTTCAGGTACATGGGAAGCCAGCAACACCGTATGTGAGTCCGATTCCCTGTGTGACCCAGCCGTACTCGTTTCCGCTGCTAGCTCAGAGCCACACATCCGAAACCGTCGCCTGTCCCCTGGCTCTGGAAACTGCGGAGGTGGTGGCGGCGGCTGCATCAGCGGAGGAGACCAACACCCTCGCCAGCTCTCACCCGAGGGTGACCTGATCGCGCCCGGCCCCACAAACGCGTACGGCTTCAGGAGAGAGAAGGAACGTAAAGGTCAGCAGCACAAGGGACGCAGCCTCCGCAGGGAGGATCAGAAGGTCGTCAGCCGAGCGAACGAGCGGCGGCACAAAGCCAATCAGAAGCAGCGGTGGGTGGAGGACAGTCTGTCGCTGCTCAAACCCCCGCCTGCATTCCCGGTGCAGGACAGTCCCGCCAAGCTGCAGCCTGCTGTCAGCTACGCTTCCAAGGTGAAAGCAGGAGCACAAGGCGGAGCTCTGGAGGAGGAGCGCCCCCTCATCGGTGTGTTGCTACAGAACCAGTGGGGTCTCAGTTTCATCAGCGAGGCGCGGCCCATCACAGAGGCCCTGGGCCACCACTCCGCTGCCACTCCCTCCTCACCCCAGCCCAGCGAGGCTGTAGAGTCACATGACCTACAGATGGACATAACATTCACAGGAGAGGCTGCGAAGGGTTCTCCTGACGTTCCAGCTGCGGCCTTCACGGCCATCAGTTTGAACACACACCCGGAGGTGGATGAGAGCGACGGGAAGCTGCTGCTCAGCTGTCGTCATCTAGTGGAGGCTATGAACTATCACAACAAAGGTGAGGCCTGGCAGCTCTCGGTTCCTCTGGTCTCTGTATGTTCTTTAAATTTCCTTCAGACTAAAATGTTTCATTTTTTTCTTCTCAGAATGGAATTATACCTTTAACAGACAGAAAAAAGGTGAGTCTACTTCAAGACCTCACTTTGAAAAAAGGATAAGATGGTTTGACTCATTTCTCTAGTACATATGTATATGCAGTGCTGTACAATCCACCAGCAGGTGGTGCTGTAGAGACTCATATTGCTTAGTGTCTATCAGTCTTTGAACAGTGTAACAATGTAGCAGTGTTTGGGAACCAGTGTTTGAGAACCGCTGGGCCAGATGAAACATTTACTAATGTAAAATTAATCCACTGGGTGGCAGTGTTGCACCACATATTTGATTTGCTGTAGTGTTTAGACTTAAGGACTAAAGCTGCTGGTGTTAGCAGGGTTAGCCTGACCTAGCCTAGCCTGGCATTGATCACATGACCCATCGTTGACCACGCCCCTCTGGTTGTTCCTGACGTCGTCTTTGATCATTTCTTTCAGATCCCAAAAGAATCATATGGTACAAGGACAGCCCAGAGAACCCAGCCTAGCAGTGTGAGAACTCCAAGGCAATCACACACACACACACACACACACCCCTCTACATCACACACACACAGACACACACACACACACACGTGGTCGTAGGACCTTGAGAAGGTGGACAAACTGTGGGTCCTGTTCTCAGACACTGCACTCAGGATGATGTCGTCACAAAAACCACACTGAGACACTTTGGACTAACTCCTCTGAGATCTTGCAACAGTGGACTTTTTTAATGCCTTACAGTCTGCCTTAAAATTAACCCGACACCTTTTCATCGCCTCTCTTTGCTACTTTTAACCTGCATTTGTAGAGTTGGACTTTTTGTTTTCTCTTTTAAAAAAACTGAGGATCCATAACTAAATTTTCCCCGTGAAAAGCTGCATTTTTATCAAACTTTGTTCCTTCTGTAAATCTGTAAAAAAAAAAAAAAAAAAAATTAAAAAAAAAAGAAAAAAAGAAGTGATCGTTAATCAAGCACTTTGTTTAAAGATCCGTTCGACCAGTTCCTGTGGTTAGTCTTCAACCTGCTTTGAGTTTTATGGTTAATATACAGAGAGGACTTTGAGTTTACAGGAGGGGGGGGGTTAGGTGGGGGGGGGGGGGCCCCCCCCCCTCGACCCCCCAGATCTTAATGCTGTGTTCCTTTGTTTTTATTTGCTTCCCTGATTGGGTGAATGAACTCATGAATTCATGTCAGATCAACGTCAGCGTCCAGTGTTTTTGTTTTTTTTGTTTTTTCAAAATTTATTGAATAAAAATGACACTGGAGATAAAAAAATGTAAATGAACGGTATTGCTCAATAAAAATGAATTAAACTTGACACAGAAACTGACTAGTAGTTCTACCTGTACTCCACTAGGTGTTCAAGTAACAAAAGGATCTGGTTTGAATTAAAGTCCAATTATTTTACACTTTACAACAGGGGATAATCATGTTAAGTAATCATGTTAATTAATAATGTTAATTAATAATAATTAATTACTGCTGGGAACAACTTTAATGAACTGACGTCAAATACAAAAACAGAACCATTTGAACCCACAGTGCAGGATGTTAACCTCCAGGGGGCGGTGTGGGGTGGGGGGGTCCAGGTCCCAGTGGGTCAGGGTCTCCACGTCACCTCCACTTCATCGGTTCTGTACCTGCAGACACAGGATGGTTTGGTGACTGTTCTGATTGTGTCCCAGGTTGTGGTCCAACATGTGGCCCGCTGCCCTGATGGGCTGCTTCTGGGTCGTGTCTTCTGCCCCAGGGACTAGTTTTTCTAGTACCTTTTAATCTCATGGACAGCAGAACAGGATCATAAAACAGTTGTTGGCGCCCCCTAGTGTAGTCTCTAATGTGACAGAAGTGTGGACTGTACCGTTGTGTGACCCAGGAGTCCTCCAGCTCCGTCACCTGACCCGACCTGAACATCTCCCAGCCGGCCTGAGCGATCATGGCCCCGTTGTCTATGCAGAACCTGTGGGACACGGTGAACAGGAAACGGTCTTTGATGGACAGGAAATGAGCAGGTCTTCAGTGAGGGAACAGTTGAGTCACCGTGTGTAACTGTACCGTTCGTCCGTGGCGAACAGTTTGGCGCCTCGCTCCTCACACATGACCGCCATCATCTCCTGAAGACGCAGGTTACCTGTGGAACAGCACCACAGGTTGAACACCGCTGCAGCTGGGATCCAAGATGGCCGCCCGCCTTCTTCACCAAGGTCAGTGGAATTACAGTGAATGTTCCAGAAAGTCTAGCCCTGACTTGATGTCTGTTGTCGTACTTACAGCCAACCCCGCCCACGATGAGAACCTCCTGAGACCCACAGTGGGCCATGGCCCGCTCCGTGATCTCCACCAACATGGAGAACAGCGTTTCCTGCCACCAGGAAGAAGTTGGTTCAAAACCAGGAACAGAAACGACGACGAGAGACCACAAAGTCACCACAGGTCAAAGTGTCCAGTCACAGGTAGGTGTGTGTGTGTGTGTGTAAGAGACCATGCACTCAACTCACGATTTGTTTTATCACAATTTTTTTTTTTTTTTTACAAATTGAGTTCCAGACAAAACCAACGATCCTTTAATCAGATCAATGGAACTGTATTGATCCTCGTGAGAAAATGAAGGTTCATTTCTCTGTCAGAACTCTGTCAAATCAACAACTGACATGGTCTGTGAACCTCACCACTGACACACGTCTGTACTGGTTTTTCATCAGTTGGTGGACAGTTTTACTCCTGCAGTGATAAACACCACCACAGATGAAGTACCTGCAGTGAGAAGCACAGGTCCTCCGCCGTACACTGATCAGAGGTCAGGAGTCTGTGAGCAGCTTCCTGTCCAGAACAGAAGCTGAAGGTCAGTCGATAACATTTAATATATATATAAATATATAAATATATATTTATATATTTCCACTCACCTCAATGTAGGACAGAATCCCTGAGAATGAAACGTCCATTCCTTTGACAGTGTAAGGTAACTCCACGTACTGACTGCCTCTGAAATGAGGAGCAGACGGTCACTGTGACCTGTGACCTGTGACCTCATCACCTTCTGACTGCACACGTTCATGTTTGTCACTCACTTCTTGGCCATCTGCTCTATGTTGTAGCCCGGACTGGGGTCGTTGGAGATCTGAGGTGAGAGACGTTCAGTTCCAAAGGTCCCAGGACCTCAAATATATTTGATATATTTGAAGACAACACGATGACACAGACCTTTAGAACTCTGGCGAACCGGTCCAAACAGTTCCCCACCGCGATGTCAATGGTTTCTCCAAATATTCTGTAGCGTCTCTCAGAGTATGCAATCACCTAAAAAAAAAGATGAAAAATAAGAGCTCAAAAAAAGAAAAGATAAAGAAAAACAGTTAAAAACAAACCGACCAACCTGTGTGTTCCCTCCACTGACGTACAGCACCGTGGGGTTGTTGGCCCTGGTGATGAGGCGACCCATCTCTATGTGTCCGATACAGTGGTTCACACCGAGGAGAGGTTTACCCCACAGCTGGGCCACGGTACGGGCCACCAGAGCCACTGTCACCAGGGGGGCGCCCATACCAGGACCTGGGGGGGGGCAGAGGGGGGGGTTATTGATACAGACTTGATACAGGTGCGTCTGTGTGATATATTGTAATACTACATGACAGTACATTGAAGTTTTTTTGTGCTGTAGAATACTGTGATGTCTCCGTGTATTCATGTTTTCATTCTACAGCAGTGTCGACGTGGACAGACGGCTGAACGTTACCTTTGGTGTAGGCCACACAGTCGATGTCAGCTGGCTGCAGCCCCGCCTGGTCTAGCGCCTCCTTCAGGACTGTTAGGACGACGGCACGATGGTGCCTGGCTGTGTCGCTGGGCAGGAATCCTGGAGTGTGAAACGACCGTTGACCACGTTCACACAGTACTGTGACCACAGTGAGGTAGAGGATTCTGGGTAAACATGACCCTCACCTTGACCAGGAGGGGTGATGTACGTCCGCCTGGGATTGGACAGAACCTCCCCATCTCTGATGATTCCCACACCGATCTTATTGGCACTGCCTTCAAATCCAATCACCACAGTCATGACAGCAGGACAACATTCTACAGATAGAACAGAAAAAATAACATGAAAATATTTTAAAGTAATAAATGATATGTGATAAATCTAAAAATATTGTTTGAAAAATACAATAGTTTGTACAGTTTACTTATACGTCATTATATCACAAGACAAAAACTTCATTTAACAACACATTTTATTCTAACATAATCACGGGTTTTGTTCTAATATTGGGCTCCTGTATGACATTTTAAAATGTGTTTAAATGTGTTAACATTTTAACTGCTCACAGGCCAAAACTAATATAAGCTGTAACTTATTTGAAGAGGCACAGACTAATGGACCACTAATGACCGCTGCTGCTATGCTAACACTGAAAGATACGGCCTCAGAGAAACATTAAAAAACATTATAACTCCAGCTCAACTACAAAACGTCCTTCACTAGCACCGACATGTCCTCGTTAGTTTACATTTGTCATTATTCATTTAGGTTTATCTTTGAATCAGATAATGCACCTACCAAAGCTAAAATTCCAAGTTTCATTTGAGCCAGAAAGGACCTCAGTATTGGTGCCGGCAGTAAAGCCTGACTAAAATACATTTCCGTCTTGGCAGAGACGGTGGCGGTTTATGGGTTGTGTTTTTACGGTTTAAGTGCACTACACTCTTGTGGTTAACTAAAAGGAGCGGCGTCCCAAATGTAACATTACATTTGTTTAATGTTTATATTTTTAAACCGGCATGTTCGGGCAGCCCCACGTTGAAACAAGCGCGTGTTCGTAAATGTAGCTGTGCTTTTGTATGTGTTTGGGGAAGGGATTACAGAGGAGCATTTGGTTGGTCTTTGCATCCAGTCGGAGAAGAACGAGTAAGAATATTTGCATTTCCTTTTATCGAAACGCAGTAGAAAGTTCGTCCGTGTTGGTCACATTTGCATGAATGCATTCAATGAAAATTTCAAGAGAAACGATTAGACTCCGTTCACTCTCAGTGCAGACCCTGTGCTATAAGCTCTTTGTCGGAATGAGCTAAAGTTAGCTTAGCCGACAATTATACTAGTGCATTACAGATGGAACTTCCTACTTTTATTTCTGTTCTTGTGTTACAGCTTCTGTCTGAAGTCTATTTTCAACACTTCTCTCATTGAACGTAATGTTTTGTTGCTAATAGAACCAGTAAAAACCTGAACCCAAAACTTGAATTTGATGTTGAAATTGTATCCCGATTCCTGTAGCCAGATAAGAATTACTGTGATGTTTATATTCAGTTTCTGCCTCATTTTCTCCTCCAGACTTTGTGCATTTTGCTTGTCTGAGGAGTGTGTTTGTAGACGGACGGAGTTTAAGAATGAAGAGGGGCAAGAAGGCACAGGAGGCTGCTGCGGAGGGAAGTGACGACACCACTTCTGGTACCAGACCTTTATCACTGCAGTCACACACGTCTGGAACTATTTAACACTGACAACATCTTACATTTCCCTTCATTTCCTCACAGCCCCCACAAAGAAAGCCAAGAATGCAAAGGAACCAGAAGCCCCGGTTCTCTACGAAGACCCTCCAGACCAAATGACCAGCAAAGATGGACGACAGGCCAACATGAAGATCACCTCCTGGAACGTCGATGGCCTGAGGGCCTGGGTGAAAAAGAATGGTCTAGATGTGAGTTGACGTTGCTCCTCAGTTGTCTGTCCGTCACCTCATCAGCCAATCAACGGACGTGTCCCTCTGTCTGTTTCCTCCAGTGGGTCCGTGAGGAGGATCCAGACGTTCTCTGCCTCCAAGAAACCAAATGTGCCGAAAAGGACCTTCCCGCACAGATAACCGAGATGCCCGAGTACCCACACAAGTACTGGGCCAGCTCAGATGAGAAGGGGGGGTACAGTGGGGTGGCTATGCTGTGCAAGACGGAGCCTCTCAAAGTAACATATGGTATTGGTGAGTATTCCTGATGGAGTATGAGGTAACAGTTGGTGAGTATTCCTGATGGAGTATGAGTATGAGTTAACACTACTACACAGTGTACTGGCTGTTGTACGTTTTATACTGTGTACTACCTCTGAACATATCACATCCAAGTCCCACATTAAAACACCCCCACCCTCACCCACCCCCTTTTATGTTAAACCATGGACAAAATGAAAAGAAATTCCCAGTCGATCCACTTGTTGTTGTTGTTGACACACACACACACACACACACACACACATCCTCAACTTCCTCCACTGATCTGCCAGTAGTGCTGAAAAATAAAATGCAATTTCTCTGCATTCCACTAGAGGGAGCCCAACACAACTTTCATATCATAGTTTAATATATTCATATATTAATTATTTATTCACAAACATTCATACCAATATATGAAATGTGTTTCCAGGGAAGGAGGAGCACGACAAAGAGGGCCGCGTCATCACCGCGGAGTTCGACGGCTTCTACTTGGTGACTGCGTATGTGCCAAATGCCAGCAAGGGCCTCGTGCGCCTTGATTACCGTAAAACCTGGGACGTGGACTTCCAGTCGTATTTAAGTGAGCTGGACATCCAGAAGCCCGTGGTGCTCTGTGGAGACCTCAACGTCGCCCACCAGGAGATCGATCTGAAAAACCCCAAGGGCAACAAGAAAAGCCCCGGCTTCACACCCGAGGAGCGGGAGGGCTTCAGCCAGCTGCTGGAGGCGGGTTTCGTGGACAGCTTCCGCGAGCTGTACCCTGAGCAGACCAACGCCTACACCTTCTGGACCTACATGATGAACGCCCGCACCAAGAACGTGGGCTGGAGGCTCGATTACTTTTTGTTGTCGTCGTCGCTGCTGCCAGGTCTGTGTGACAGCAAGATCCGGAACAAGGCCATGGGGAGTGACCACTGCCCCATCACACTGCATATGGTAGTGTAGGCCACAGGGGGCAGCAGTGTCTGTGCCATGTTAATACTTCAGTTCTGACTAGTTAGTGTGTTAGTGAAGGTCAGTCCTTCATAGTTTAGGTCAGTTTAACCAAACTGCTGAGCGTCAATAAACCACTGTCACCTTTTATTTGTTTGTTAGCAGAGCGACGAGTTAGCGCCTGCTAACGTTGGACATGAGCCTGTGGTCGCCATGAGCAGAGCGACGAGTTAGCGCCTGCTAATGTTGGACATGAGCCTGTGGTCGCCAAAACACTGTTGGTAGGAAATGTGTTTGTTGTAGTAGTAAATGAATAAAGTTTCGTTTTAAACCACTCATAGAAAAGATTTATTTTTGATACATTTGTCCATTTGAACGATCTTTAAACAGAAACTGAGAAACGTCATGTTCACTACAATTTGTTTGTCAGTATTTAGCATGTTGTGTCCCTTCCTTGGCCTGTAGGTGGTGCTGCAGCAGCAGCGTACACACACGTGTTGCGTTAGCTCTGTGATTGGACAGCATTCAAATTTGAGTTGGTCTTCACCAGGGCTAAGTCAAGGTAAGCTAACACTCTGAACATCTAGTTTCTTTACTGCCATCTACTGGTGTCTGTGTGCCTCTGTAAAAAGAAAAATGTTCTATAGTAAATGTTTTGTTTTTTGTTTTTTTTAGAGCAGCGTTAGCTTGAAGTCGTGATTGACAGCAGGTTAACTGAGCAGCAGTCGGACTAGAACCTAGGAGAACGTCAGGTGAGTCTGTTGATGCATTCTGAGATTGTACGCTTGTCTGAAGCCTTTCCCACACTCCACACACAGGTGAGGTCTTTCCTCTGAGTGCGTCCGCTGGTGTCTCTTCAGGCGGTTGGCACTGAGGAAGCTCTTGTTGCACTCCGTACAGGAATAAGGCCGCGCCCCGGTGTGGTAGCGCAGGTGGATGGTCAGGTAGCAGGACTGAGTGAACTTCTTGCCACAGTGGGGGCAGTGGAAGGGCTTGTGGTCTTTGTGGAAGCGCTCGTGCTTCAGGAGCTCGGCGTGGGAGAAGAACCTCTTCCCGCAGTCGGAGCAGAGGTACGGTCTCTCCCCCGTGTGCGTCAGCTCGTGTCTGGTCAGCGTGGCCTTGTAGACGAAACTCTTGTCGCACGTGGAGCAGCTGAAGACCTTCTCCCTGGTGTGGCAGCGCTCGTGCTTCTTCATGCTGCGCTCCCTCTTGAAGCTCTTCCCACAGTGGGAACACGAGAACGGCTTCTCCTCCGAGTGGATCTTCATGTGACTCAGCAAACCCCCCCTGTACAGGAAGCCTTTGCCGCACTGCGTGCACACGTGCGGCCGCTCCTTCTGATGCGTCCGCTGGTGTGCGGTGAGGGCGGCCTGGTAGGTGAAGCTCTTCCCACAGCTGCAGCGGTGAACCCGCTGTTCCTGGTGAGTCTGCAGGTGCTGCTGACGGCGAGCGGCGCAGCCGAAGCTCAGGTCGCAGTGGGGGCATCCGTAGGAGCGCCCGTCCCCGGCTGCACTCTCGCCGTGGGTCTTCAGGTGGCGCACTAGCGCCGACTTCCAAGCGAAGGCGCGTCCACACTCTGAGCAGACGTACTCGCCGTTCTCCATGTGCGTGCTCCTGTGTTCCCGCTGAGCCAGCGACGATTTGAAGAACTCGCCACAAATCAGGCACTGGTACTCGCGCCCGGAACTGTGCGTCTGCTTGTGGCGCTCCAGCGACTGTTTGAAGGAGAACCGGCGTCCGCACTGAGAGCAGAGGAACGGCTGCTCCCCCGTGTGGATTCGCTGATGAGCTCTGAGTAAGGACTGGAACCTGAAGCTCTTCTCACAGCTGGGGCAACTGAAACGGCCCTGAAGACCAGCCCCGTGCTCCTGCTGCTGGACCTGCACACCACCTGAAGGACTGAGGGGGCGCTGTGGAGAGGAGACAGCAGCTGAGGCCAAGTTAGCTGAAGAACCTTAGAAGAAGAAAACAAAAAGATTATTAAAAATGAACAGAAGAAAAACTGTTAAATGATTGTTGTTGTTACAAAGATCAAACCTCCAACCAAGACCTGGGGTAATTAATATTTTAACCAGGTGATGATTTAATTATTAATTCTCCTTAATATTTACAGAAAAGTCCTCAAGGAATCTCTCAGGCTAATATGGACTACTGCCCTCTACTGGTGAGTCAGTGACACAGCATTTTTACAAAATGTTGAGAATAAAAATGTTTAGTTTTTTCCAGTGACACAGCATTTTTACAAAATGTTAAAAATGAAAAATGTTTAGTTTTTTTTTCCTCTATTTCTGATTCATTGGTTCAGAGTTTGTGTTCAGTCGGACGCTGACCTTCGTCACTGGTCTTCAGTTGGACCGGTGTCGACCCGTAGGAGTGGTCTGCACTGCTGGACAGAACAGACTGTTATGACACTGATGGTGTTAATAATGACTCTAACAGTAGATGGCAGTATCACCTGCTGGCAGTCTCAGGCTCGAGGGCGGGGCTGTTGACCTTTGCCCTCCTCTTTCTCCCAGTGGTCATGGACTTCTGTAAGTTTATCACCTGAACCTTCATGGTTGGTTTGCGTTTGCGCCCGCTTGTTCGCACTTTGACCGCAGAAATGTGGTCGATGTAACGTTCAGTGACCGGGTCAGACGACCTGCAGGTGACGGGTTCACTGCCCCGGACCTCCGCACTCTGTTCCAGCCCACGGTCGGGCTCTGATTCGTCGTCAGTCTTTGTCTCATCGTTGCCGTGGAAACCCGTGAGCTCATTCACACCACAGTCAGAGTGAATGGAGTGACGGCCCGCCGGCGGGGTCGGATCCCCCGGCGGGGTCGGATCCACCTGCCGGGTCGGATCCACCTGGGGGGGCTGGGTGACCCTGTGGGCGGTGGGTGGAGGGTCAGACTCCGATGTCTTCTCACAGTCAGGGCCGTCGTGAGGACCCACAGACGCTGGGGGTGCAGAGGATGCTGGGTAATCCTCGTTATCTTCTGATTGGCCGACAGCCATCGCAGCAGCTACGGTTCCGTCCACGGTGAAGTGTCCTTCTCTGGTCACACCCTCGGCCCTCTGGTGGCGCTGTTCTCCAGTCTCCGCGCTGGTTTCCAGTTCCACTTCAGCGAACTCTGTGACTGTGACCAGTTCAGCTCCGAGGTCAGACGGCGTGTGGTGTCTGGTGACCGGAGGTGAACGCGGCTGCTGCTCCGACGTGGACGTCACCCTGCTGGGTAAGACGGCGGCGAGGGAGGAGCTGATGATGTCACCCATGCTGCAGGGAGGAACTGAGCGGAGACGGAACGAAAACAACGAATCAACGTCTGCTCTTAAACCCATCACCGCGGCTACAGCCGGACTCTCACCGTGTCGGTCCAGAAGTCCGGCCCGGTCTCTGTGGTGCTGCAGCAGACGCCTCACATGTGCAGAGTCAGAGACCGGGTCCAAACAGTCGGTCAACACTGAGGCCTCAGGTCGGAGCCAGGACACGGTCTGAGGAGAGAAGACTCTGTCAACCCTTCAGAGAGAGAGAGTGAGTGTGTGTGTGTGTGTGTGTGTGTGTGTGTGTGTGTGTGTGTGTGTGTGACTCTTCTCACTTGTTCCAGGTCAGGGACAGGCAGCAGCTGAGACAGTCGACAGAGTAACTCCCAGAACAGCGTCTGGAGGTCGCGGTCGAAGTCTGGTCCAAACTCAACAGGAAAGACTTCCTTTAAAATGACAAAAAGAAAAGAGTTGTGTGAACAGTCAGTAACACCACGCTGTGAGGTAGTTTGTCAGTCGTTCATTCAGTTGAAAACAACTGAAGTGAAAAAGAGAGAAACAAAGGTCGTCAGTGTCACCGAGAAAAACTCTCGTCTCTCCTCCGTGTCCTGGACCAGAGTCTGGATCAGGTCACAGAAGTTAAGCACCGCCTCCTCCTCCTCCTCCTCCTGCTCCTCCTCCTCCTCCGCTGCCTCCACCTGTTTCATGGACATGGGAGTTGTTACAGGTGTCACTGGTACACTGACAGTGTCATGGTAACACCAGGCCTCACCTGGTCCGGCTGCTGGACTTTCATCTTGTCCAGCTGTGAACAGATGAAGTCTGGTTCCACCAGGTCCCGTCGGCACAACTCAACCACGTACTGTCGAGGCAGAGAGGATTCTGGGTAAATATCTGGAGGTTCCACCTACAACCTCAGGTACAAATCTGCGGTGCTCATACCCTGGCTCGCAGTCCCAGGATGAGCTGTGTCCGGTGCCTGTTCACCAGCAGCTCTGGTACCGTGTCTGTCACCAGGCAGACGAACTCGGCCACAGCCACGTAGTTCAGGACGTCCCGTCTCCTCAGGGTCTGCCACAGTGACGCTGTGACCAGCTGCAGGGGGGGGACCAGGAGACGCAGGGAGGCCAGAGGGAGGGAGTCAGCTGGAAGACAGGAGGAGGAGGAGCAGATCTTCATCACCATCACCAACATCATCATAATCACCACCACCAACATCATCATCATCATCATCATCACCATCATCATCACCATCATCATCATCATCATCATCATCACCAACATCATCATCATCATCTTCATCATCTTCATCATCATCATCATCATCACCATCATCATCATCATCATCACCATCATCACCATCATCACCACCATCATCACCATCATCTTCATCATCATCACCATCATCATCACCGCTCGTCCTCCTAAACCAGGGGTTCTCAATTATTTTCATGGGGACAGAAATGCCCCCCCCCACCCTGACCCACACCCCTGTGAATTGAAATAGTATTTAGAACCTGATAACATGTATATATATATATCTTTTCAACCACTGTATGTGTTGCTGCCACCTAGTGACTGGAGGCTTGTCATCATTTAAACTTACATGTTTAATTATCGCCTCTGTAACACCCACCCCCCCACCACCACCCTCCCACCTTAACCTTTAACCCTCCCAAGTTCCTTTCAATATGGCGGCTGGACCTTGGGCACATGATTTGTGACGTCATCTCGAAGCGACCAACAGAACTATCCAAACAATCAACGTGAGACTCTAATGTGTAAAACAAAGCAGCGCGTGTTTTATCGACAACTCAACGATATTTTAGGTTTTGTTTTAAACGTTACACGAATTCACGTCAGGTTTACGTTCAACTTTAACGTTAACGTTACCACTGGACTGTGATAAATGACGCCGCGTCACTGGACAGACTGGCTGTTCGCTGGACACCGACTACAGCTGTTATATTTGCTGGTAACGTGCGGTGACCACGTTACATACGACACCATGTTACATCAAGTGACTGACAGTAAGCTAACAACCGAGCTACATCTGAGCCACGACCGAAACACCGTTGTCCTCGACGGGTGTGGGGGACCGTGGCGCCCGTTCATTACCGTCACTCATCCTCGACCTGGAACAACGTCAACTTATTATTTATTCAACGCAGGTTTTCTGCCTAACAAACCTTTGGACGTGGACGTCAAAACACCAGGGTCCATCTCGTCACTCGGCTGCTACAACTCAGTCAACCCACGGCTAATAGTCCGTCCACGGTCTCGACAACTGACAACCAGGTGACACCGAAGAGAACGGAATAACATTTGAATTTTTGAAAGAAAAAGTCTAATGTTAACCTCGACTCATGTTGTTAAAGAGTCGCCTCCTCCATCTTTGTAATGTTGTGACACTTACTGACATCTAGCGGAGGTTATGTGCAGCACTGCAACCTTAAACATAAGAACTAACGATATTAGTTTAGTTTAGTTTAGTTTAGTAAGAACCAATGCGTTTCATTTATTCATAAATATAACAGTTTTTTGGCTGTTTGTCGATATGTCTATGCAGACAAATCACTTCATTTATTGTTACTTTTTTTATGGAAATGATCCATTTTAATTTTAAAGTACATTTGAATTTAAATTGTTTCAACACAGAGTCACCATGACAAGAGTTCTGTCATCATGACGTGACAGCTTTAATCCTTTAATCTAAAAGAAAGTCATTATCAACGGACCAACACCAGGTGGAAAGATGACAGATACCAGATTCCTTCCTTTGTACCAGGTCACATGTACAAGTACCTGCACAGTGGAATGAAAACAGCTCTGATTCTGCAACAAAGCAAAAATAAATAAATAAAACATAAACAAATAGCAGCTGTAAATGAAAGATAAAGTTAACACAAGTCACTGGTACAAACAATAAACCAGAGCAGCAGCAGCAGCAGAGTAAACCATGGTGGCAGAGCCTGTCTGTGGATTCACTCCAGCAGTGAGGTCGTAGAGCAGGAACAGGAAGTGACCCGTGTGGCGTTGGAAAGGTTTAGGTATGAATTTCAACATCTCCGTCGGTGACCTCATCTCCTCCCCCTCCTGTCAGTATGAAGTGCAGGAGTTCCTGGGCAGGGGGTCGTACGGGCTGGTCACCCAGTGCAGGAAAAGCCCCAACAACCAAACGGTGGCTTTGAAGATCCTGCGGACGCCAGCGTGTTTGGACGTGGCTGAGACGGAGGTAGAGGTCGTGGAGCGGTGAACGTGTGTCCGGTGTCCGGTGATTCTGTGTTGACGTCAGCTCTGTGTCCTGACTCTGTGATTACAGGAGGCCTTCCTCAGGACCATGACCCAGTTCCACTCAGACAAGTTCAACGTGGTCCGTCTGCTGGACTCCTTCACCTACAGAGGACAGCTGTGTCTGGAGTTTGAGAAACTGGACATGAACCTCAGTCAGTTTGTCCAGAGGAACCACAACCACGTCCTGGACTTGACCCTGATCCGTCCACTTGTGCAGCAGGTTGGTGTCAGTCACACGTCACAGGTCCAACATCGTCAGGTGAAGGGTGATCGACAGTGTCTCTCTACCTCTCTCTCTCTCTCCAATCGTCTGTTTTTTTGTTGAATGTTACTGAAATGGAATCTTGATTTGCTGCTATGCTAATGTTGCTAATGTTAAAGTCTAAACTCTCGTAGACCCCCCCCTTGTACCTGAGTGCATCAGATCATCTTTGCAGTCCCATGACATTTTCACCCCTGGTTCTGCTCTTAGTTGGCCACTGCCATGGAGTTCCTGCGGGGGCTGGGGGTCGTCCACGCTGACATCAAGCCCAGTAACATCATGGTTCTGGACCATCAACAAAAACCAGTGCAGTTCAAAGTGATTGACTTTGGACTGGCCTGTGTCCATCCTGAGAGAAAGACAGGAGCCAAGCTGCAGTCTGGCTGCTACAGGTAGGACACTGACCAGTCACCACTGACCACTCACCACTGACCACCCACCAGTAACCACTGACCATTCACCACTGACCAGTCACCACTAACCAGTCACCACTGATCACTGACCAGTCACCACTAACCAGTCACCACTGAACAGTCACCACTGACCCGTCACCACTGACCACTCACCACTGACCACTGACCAGTCACCACTGACCACTGACCAGTCACCACTGACCAGTCACCACTGACCAGTCACCACTGATCACTGACCAGTGGTCTCTGTGTTTCTCCAACTGGTGTTGAAGCTAGTAAAGAAAAATAACCCCTGTCTGTCCACCTGTCTGTCCCCCTGTCTTCCCTCCTGTCTGTCCCCCATCTGTCCTCCTGTCTGTCCGCCTGTCTGTCCACCTGTCTGTCCACCTGTCTGTCCACCTGTCTGTCCTCCTGTCAGTCCTCCTGTCTGTCCACCTGTCTGTCCTCCTGTCTGTTCCCCTGGCTGTCCCCCTGTCTGTCCCCCTGTCTTCCCTCCTGTCTGTCCTCCTGTCTTCCCTCCTGTCTGTCCCCCATCTGTCCTCCTGTCTGTCCACCTGTCTGTCCTCCTGTCTGTCCACCTGTCTGTCCACCTGTCTGTCCTCCTGTCTGTCTTCCTGTCCGTCCT